CCACCTTAGGTATATGTGGCTGGCGACTTAGCCACTTGAGCCATAGGTGCCGAGCCCCTTACCCTTTCTTAAAACATTTATTTATGAATAAAACTAAATTTCCAGTAGGAATTGTATTACCTCATACTTTGTTGACATATCTGATAGCAAAGAATGAGAACTATGGTGATACAGTAGGAAGGGAACCTGATTAAAATTTATACCTTGCTATCAGCTTGGTCATTTACACCTCTGAGCCTTGGTTTCCCCATCAAAGACAAGAAATCTTGCTTAACAGGATCTTTAAGTCTCCTTGTACCTCTAACTTGAGATGATTTTAGGTAGAGCTCTTGTTAGGTGGACTGACTGGGATTTTTCAGAATAGAAGTATTAAATCTCAGTTTCTGAAAGCATCCATTTAAAACGGTGGTGTGCACATTTAAATTTGCCTTTTTAACTACTTCTAGATATTAGAAGAAACAAAAATAAGAGGAAAAAACTAAGAGCTACATAAAACCAGTTAATTAAGCAGCAATTTCCCAATTCTATATCCTTTACTATATTCAACTTTTCAAATATACTTCCAATCAGCATCTATATTACACTCTGAAAAAAAGCTACATATAAAAATATAAATTTTATACATACATATGTACATATGCATAAACACTATGTCTATACCTATATGTCACATGTATTTGTAATACACAATCATATGAAAGTAGTTTAAGGTTCTCCAAAGAAAGAATTACATTCTTGAACATTTCTTAAAGAGGCATTTGAAATTCCAGTCTAAAATGATAGGAAATCAGGCCTGCAGCACTCAAATTATCTTAAGGAATGAAGATCTCTTCCCCATACCACATGCTCTCTAACCCTCTACCCACAAAAAACACAGTGAAAAAACTTCTTCTGTCAGGCATCTCCTTATATCACTCATTACCACCACCGGTCCCCAACTCATAGACTCCCGGGGCTTTGCCTAGTGTTTCTAGGGCTTAGATTCATTTTTTAATTATTGCGGCTTTCTTTAAAACACAGATGTACACATCTATCATATTTCACATATAATTTGGAGGTACAGGTTGAGTATCCCTTATCAAAAACCTTTCAGGAGAGCGGGGTAGAGCAAGATAGCCAAACAGAAACTTCCAGGAATTGTCCCACCACACAAACACCAAATTCGATAACTATTCGTGCAAGCAAAGATCTTCAGAAGAACCCAAAATCAGACATGGTTTTAGAAAGCAGAACCAGGACCACTGAATTAAAGTTGTTACTGAAAAAGAAACAAATTTCAGCTATGAAGAATGATATGAAAATCACTCTTCCTATTTCTTCCTATAAAAAGTTATTAATAATGTACACACAAGAAAAACACCAAAAACCCACAACAACAATAAAAAAAAAAATTTGAGAACAGAAATGTTTGGGATTTCAGGTTTTAGAATATTTGCCTTATACTTACTGGTTTAAGCATCTCCCAAAATGCTACAATGTGGAGCATTGTTTCAGCACTCAACAACTTTTAGATTTGGGAGCATTTCCTTTTTTAGAATATTCAATCTGTATTATAAGATAAAATAGCTTCGAATCCTCCAAATGCAGGGTATTTTTTAAAGTAAAGAGCAAAGGATCAATTCTTCAAATTATGGAAATAGGAGAACTTTCTATATTAAGTCAATATCGATTTGAGTCACAGAAGTGACTTTTGATCTGTAATCACGGTGCTTACATTAGATATCTCAAGAATGACAGAGGAAAAGCTGGGATGGAAGATGTTCCTTGATATTTATATCTTATTCTACATATGGCTTCTGCTTACACAAATAGGATACTCATGAAGCTTTAAGGTGATAGGTTTTGTCTCCCTAATTTAATGGTTGGTAAGGAAAATAAAATACAGACATATACTAACCATTCTGAGCCCTCAAAACTACCCATAAGATCATTTCAGATTTAATACACAGAAACCACTCTTGAACCAAATTAACACAAATTTCTAGTTAAACAATTCAATTCTTCTTTACTACAAAAGAACATTTTATTAATTTATTTTTTCAGAGATGGGCCTTTCTATTCTGCCAGGCCTGAGTGCAGTGGGTATTCACAGGTGATCACAGGGATTTTAACTTGCTCTGTTTAGGCCCTGGGCCTCCTTAGGCAACCTAATGGTCCCCCACTCCTAGAAGGTCACTACACTGATGCCAAATTTAGTGTGAATACTGGATCTGTATCATAGCCAAGAGCTCCTGGGCTCAAGCAATCTTCCCACCTCAGTCATCAGGGACTACAAGCATGTGCCACCAAACTTTGCCAAAAGAGTATTTAATTAGGAAGCATATATCAATTACTTCAACTTATGTATAAAACATTTATAATTTATTCATAAAATATACATTATTAACAATACAAGTTATTGAACATAGGGAGTAGCAAATATCTATGAATAAAATTATTTATTTGTTTACATTTACCTTACTTGTGAAATGTTTCCATGTGAAGTCTAATAAAGCAGTATTTACTGGACAAATGTTAAACATGATGTGTAATTGTATCAACCAAATGTAACAACTGAACCAATTAAACACTCCAACTGAGCTAACAATCTCCTATGAAATAGAGATGTTAGCCATGTCAATAATCAATCAACGTACATAAGTAAAATTGTAAAGATAGAAAAATAAAATTCTACTATCTTTTTTTTTTTTGGAGACAGTTTTCTCTGTTGCTCTGGGTAGAGGGTCATAGCGGCATCATAGCTCACAACCACCTCAAACTCTTGGGTTCAAGAGATCCCCTTGCCTTAATTTTTCTATTTTCAGTAGAGAAAGGGTCTTGCTCTTTTGTTCAGGCTAGTCTTGAACTCCTGAGCTCAAGCAATCCAGCCACCTCAGCCTCCCAGAGTACTAGGATTACATGTGTGAGCCACCATGCTTGGCAAATTCCACTATCTAAAAGGAGTAATTTAATATTATCTAAGAGGTAAAAATGTCCACAATTTACTTTAAAGCACACTGTCCAAAGATGGCAGTAATACACTTTTTTGAGTTTTTCTAAGACGATAGGATAAAAATAACTACAGTAAGAAAAAACTGGAAAATGTTGCAAAGTGGTTTTTGCCTTTCAACAAAGAATTTGTGAACATTACTCTAATAATATTTGCTAAATAGCACATTTCTGCAAACTCCCTTGCTGAATGTTAAGAACATTCATCACCCAATTTCATATCCAATGCTTATCAATCTATTTATTTATATTATAAATGTATTTATGGTTTGTTTTTTTTTTGAGACAGAGTCTTACTTTGTCAACCTTGGTCAAGTGTCATGGAGTCATAGCTCACAGCAACCTCAAACTCTGGGGCTCAAAAATCCCCTTGACTCAGCCTCCTGAGTAGCTGGGACTATACGTGCCCGTCACAATGCCCAGCTAGTTATTTCCTATTTTTTAGTAGAGATGGGGTCTCACTGTTGCTCAGGATGGTCTTAAACTCCTGAGCTCAAGCAACCCACCCTCTTCAGCCTCCCAGAGTGCCAGGATTATAAGTGTGAGCCAGGGTGCCCAGCTTAAACTTACTACTTGCTAAAGTAGAAGAAATATACTGAGACACATCACAATGGGGCCTAGATCTGTTATCTTCATTATAGTGCTCAATTGTTAACATCAGTCACATAAAGAAAAAGTAAAATAATGTCTTTGGAATATAATTATTGTCAGAAAAAGTTTTTCTGAAAGTATTTAGAACTTAAAATTTCATGTATAAAAATAAATTTTCCATATGGGGGTGCAGGAAAATATTATTTATGTTTCTCCAAAGGTTTTGTTGTTGTTGTTTGTTTATTTTTCTAAAGTATTTATCAAAGGGTTTAATTTTCATCATGTGGGGTAGAGACAACCAAGTCACTGCCCAGAGGAAGGGTAGTGAAAATAATCCTCACCCAGCACCCAACACTCTACCTCCAAAAGCCCTGGGAAAGGTTATTGCTCACAAGTGGTTCTTGTGACTAACATCAGAATCTCATCCTCAAGTATATTACAAAAGAGATATTTTTTAACCAGAATTCATAATCAAAAGGCAATGAATTGACTGGGCATGGTGTCTCACTCCTGTAACCCTAGCACTCTGGGAGGTCAAGGCAAGAGGATTCCTTGAACTCAAGAGTTAGAGACCAGCCTAAGCAACAGCAAGGCCTTGCTTCTACTAAAAATAGAAAAATTAGCCTGGCGTTGTAGAGGGCGCCTGCAGTCCCAGCTCCTTGGAAAGACAGAAGCAGGAAGAACACTTGAACCTAGAAGTCTGAGGTTGCTGTGAGCTAAGCTAACACCATGGCACTCTCACCTGGGCAGCAGAGTGAGACTCTATCTCAATTAAAAAAAAAAAAAAAGCAACAATTTTCATAATAGTATATAACACTTACAGTTAGCTTACAGATAGGATAAACCCAGAATGAACAGCAGAGGAAAAGAAAATTGTGACATTACCTACCGCCTCTCACAAGCAATTAGCCATTAGACACAGCCATATTTATTCTGTTCAAAGCACACATATACCATTCTCAAAAGCAGCAACTGTGTTAAAGATCTAAGTGGCAGGAATGCAGTCTCCAATGTATGTAAGATAAATGTGTAAACACAACAAGGTCCAAACACCTAAGGTATGTTACTTTCCTCAGGTCTTAGTTACCTCATCTAAATTAAATGGGGATAACAATTAAGTAAACTAAAGAGAGGGTACTAAATCAGATATCATTATCCAATCTACTTCATGACCAACATTTACTAACCTATTTATTTATATTATAAATGTATTTATAACGTTGTTTCTTAAACTTATTATTTACCAAAGTAGATGAAACATACCGACACATCACAATATACAACAAAATTTCTAGGGCCTAGATGTGTTTTCTTCTTTGTAGTGGTGCTCAGTGTAAAAGATTTTTAGGACAACCAAACAAAAACGTGGAAAGAACTAATAAAAACTTCAATCTACGTGGGGTCTGAGTTGGAACAAGGAGCATATGATTAGCTTACTCAAATCAAAATATGTAGTATTTTGGTCATCACAGAAATGAGTTTCCTTATCCTTCTTAATAAAAACCTGATAACTTTGAAGACTGTAAGAGATTACAGTCTTTTTCAAATTATTAAAGAAGCTACATCTTAATTCTACAATAAAAATATACTGTTAAAATTTTGGGGAGACCTTTGTTTTGGACCAGCTTCTTGAACTAGGCCCCAGCAGGCTAGTCCACACCAAGATGGAATCACTCATGCTAAATGAAGAAGATAAATCCCCAAATAAACCAGTTTTTCCTGAAAACAGGAGATTTACAGTAACCAGTGAGAAAGAGCCCAGTCTATCTGAATCAATGTACTAAGTCCTCTTTGCTTTAATCCTTATTAGATAGTAAGTAAAAATGTTAACCAATTCACTTTTTTTATTTTTGTGTTTCCTTGTTCTTATAAAAACCAACCATTCTGTCATGTCCAGTGGAACATGTACTTATGTTATAGAATATGTTGTTCAATTCTAGAATCACAATTAAAAGGAAATTAAGTGATTTGTAAATGTGCTGCAATTTTGTCTTTTGACAGTGCTATATACATTTCTATCTAGAGTATGAAAATTAAACTGTTCTTTAACTTGCCATACGAGTCATAACTTATATCCCCTCTCTCTATGGGCTATCTTATAAATGGTCTTGTAATATAAAATATAAACAAAATAAAAATAAATAAGAAAAAAATAAAACATAAAGTCATATTAAATATTCTTGTTAAGGAGGAAAAAGACCAAAGCCAAGATAAATCTCCTTCCTGTGTTGATTTTTGTTTGTTGCTTCCTGTTACCAAAAACAAACAAACAAAAAAACAAACAAACAAAAAAACTCTACTTTAAAAATTAACTTATGTCCACAGGATGAAATTCAGAAAATATACCAATAAGATCAAGAAAATAAAAATTATCTCTAACACTGGCACCTAGAAATAATCGCTTTATGCCAATCTTTAAATATTACATACCTGGCTTTTTCCTTTCAACATCAAAAGATTAGTTACTTTGCCAAATGGTAAACCTAATGATATGACCTCTGCTTCGGTGACATCACATGGAATTTTGCGGAGATGGAGAACACGGGAAGGCGAACAGGGAGGTCTATCTCCTTTAAATTTCTTGTTGTCATTCCCATTAGCT